AGATATATCAGAACAGTCTTAGATAGATAGATAGATATTAGCTTATGTATGTACGTGTTGCGACAATAGAAAGTGCAATTACGTAAAAACTGATAATAGTAAAAACAATAAGACGTCAATAAATTGAAATAATTAAAGAACTCTCTGTCCATGGAGAGAATGAAAAATAAAAAAAAAAGTAATGTTGGTAGGAGAAAAATAAAAACAATGATGAAAAACAGAAAGCAAACTAAAAAATGTAACAAAAGACAAAAAAAAAGCTTTTCTAAATATTTAAATTTAAACCAACATAAAATCCTGACGAACGAAAGAAGAAAGCAAACGATATTCTTCTGCCCATTCGGCAAAATAAACAAAAGACATTATAAAAGAATAAAAAAAAAATGAAGCAAAGAGAATGAATAGAAACAAATAAATGTCGAAACGAATTGCTCCAGCTCAAAAAGAGTAACCAAAATAAATCCTAATTTCCCCCATAATTCCCCTGGCTTCATTCATTTCCGCTTTTGAGCGCCACTGAAGTGTCAGTCGCTACAAAGGGAGGCAATCCGCGTCAAGGCGTCGGTTCACTTGTCATTATGTCGTCTTCTATGACGCTTAATTAGGCAATAATATAAGGCCCAGTGAGCTTTTGATGAAATGTAGAAACACAAATAAAAGATATCAATTAATAATAAAAATTCTATAGCGAACTCTCGTTCCACTCGCCATTTTGAGCCAACGTTACGTTGTTTTTGTATTTCAGATATTTTGTTATTTAAAAAAAAATGCTTACTTTTTCTTTGCTTTTTAAATTTTTCATCCGATTCTCTTTTTCTTTTTTTAGCACAAGAAAACATCTTTAAAAGTGCAACAAAATTTAGTTTACAAATACGGAGTTAGGTGAATTAATATGAAAATAAATTTTACAGAAACAAATGAAAAAAAAGAGGCAATATTAAGGAAGAGGAATAGAAAGAAAGAGGCAGGAAAACGGAGTGAGAAAGATAGAGTTAAGATGAAAAGAAAGAGTAACGTTTGATAGAGAGTAAAAGAGAAGGGAAAAAGAGTAAGAGGAGTGTGAAAGAAAGTCAGGGGGAAGAGAGTGGTAGGGAGAGTTAAAAAGAGAAAGATGAAGAAAGCGGAGTGGATATAGAAAGTCAGAGGAGGGGAAGAGAAGAAAAGTGGATGATGATTGAGCAGGAGAGTTTAGAGAGATACATAATGAAAATTGGAGAGAAAAAGGAAGACGTCAAGAGGTATATAAAGAGGGGAATAGAGGAGAGATAAGTAAAGGAAAAGAGATTTGGAAAGAGAAGACAGGGAGAGAGAAAGAGAGAGGGAGAGAGAGAGAGAGAAGACAGCTGATATTGTAACTGATTTTAGCGGGGAGTTAAAGAAAGATGAGAATGTGGAAAAGAGAGGTAGTGGTGGGAAGCAGAAAACTAGAGAGAGAGTGACGTTAAAGAAGAAAGGAAAGTGATTCGTTGCGCCTTCTCTGGCTCATATTCTTTGCTGACATGAAGTAGAAAAAAAACTACATTGAATCCATTGCTAGGTCAGCCGCTCGGCAGGTGGGTTCACCATTTATCTCTCCAAAACTATCTTACATATCTATAAGTCTATCATTTGTCCATGCTTAGAATATTGCTGCTTCATAGGGTCCAGTGCCCCTGCTATTTACCTTGAGCTCCTTGATAAGATCCATAGAAGAATCTGAAATATTATTGGTCCTGATCTGGCAGTTCAACTCCAGTCAATTTCCCACCACCGTAAGGTTGCCTCGATATCTTTTCTTTAAATACTTTCATGGTAATTTTCCGAATTAGCGTTTTGCTATGTATCCCAGAGTTTGTTTTTTTAATTTAAGCTTAGCACTAGACTGATTTTTACATACTTGTGCTTTCTCTTGCTTCAGAACCTACATACATAAGCTAATATCTATCTATCTATCTATCTATCTATCTATCTATCTATCTATCTATCTATCTATCTATCGATCAATTTACAGTTGAACTAACTAGATGTAGCCGTACATTCTGTGGCAACAGTTCCTTCTCACGCATTTCTCGCTTGTGGAACTCTCTTCCAGCTCCATGTTTTGCAGCCATCTTTAATCTGCAAAAAATTAAAAAGCAAAGTCAATCGCTATCTAGTGTCCCCTTGATTACTCTCTTCTCTTTCTGCTGATCATTAATGTTTCTGTTCCTAATTCTTCGACACCCTGTAATCTCTTGTATTTTAGTGGCATTACTGTCTTGCTTGGGGTGATGCCGATTTTTTTAAAAAAATGCCAGAAATGCCGAAGTTCATGAACCATAGGCTGTCATATTTGAACAATGATAACAAAGCAGAATTTCTTCAAAGGATTAATGATAACGAAATATATTAGACATTCATGCATTGTTGGCAAGAATTCATCGAAAATTTTCCTTCCACATACGAAAGCGCTCTGATCCGTGCGTCAAAATAATTATTCATGTCTTTGAAAATCGAATCAGCTCTTTAAACCTATCAAATATGAAATACCTTTGACTCAGAGAAGGTCTCAAATCATCAGAGAAATGTCTCATTAATGCTGAGATATTTTATACCTGAGGAATTTTGCAGGATGGTTGGAATAATAGTTTACGTCTTGAAGAATCGGAGAGCCGAGTTCGATGTCCAGTTGAGTTCGTTATATTCAGTTATGTGCAAAAGAAAAAAAAAGTATCAATACATCTTTCTTCAAACAGTATTGGTAAATAGCAGGACAGACTTAGTCCTGTAAGCTTTGATGGAAATCGGTCTAGGAGAAGGGCAACTTTGAATTAAAATCCTGAGTGGTCGAGTGATCGGTGACTAAACTGGCTCTAGGCGGGTAAGTTGAACACAAGCAGTACCAAAATGAGTTGTTAAAGGACGGGTTAACCCCTCAGAGTCAACGGTCATCCACCCCCAACTATAGGTTAAATAGTCTCACCAATCTACAATTGGTCAAGCGTAATGAGTACAACGAATCCCCTGAAGACATCGTCAATCAGGGATGAGAAAAGCTTGAATTTTGAATTTGGATTTGGCCACCCAAAGACAGAGATATCGTAGCGGGTCGCTCGCCGATATCTGAGGGCACGCTTCTCAGGCACAAGGAGTTGTTTGACATCTTCTTTCAAGAATCAATTGTATATGTCCGGTTTTGTAAATATAATTGTATTATGCAATTACATCTTGATATTCAATATCCACAGGCTCACTTCGAAATGGTAAACGCAGAACTGACAAAAGAGATTAACTCTGGAAATGATGACTTGGCCGCCTCAATTTCCTGACCTCTCACTTACTGGATTTGTATGTGATTAATTGGATAGGAGAGTTCCAAGCGAATACCCAAAGAATGAGTTCATTTCAGTGATTGAAGAATGCTTTGGAAGGCTGGTCATATATTTTTTCAAAACCTGTTGAAATGAATGCCAAGAATTTGTAAAGCAGTAATAAACGAAGGTGGTGGTTTTATTGATTAAAACAAAATATGATGCTGTTGCATAATACATTTTATAGTTAAGTGATTATTTTCTTTCAAAATGAAACCAAATACACTTGCATTACGGAAATTTAAACTTTTACATTAAAAAAATACAGAAGTATATCATTTTATGGTTCTCTTTTAAAACGAAACGCAGGGTCGCCCTAAACATTTGTCGGTAGGAAATATATATATATATATATATATATATATATATGGTGGGGGTAAACTGATTAAATTGGGAAAGGCTGACGTGAAACGATTAACTGAAATAGATTTGCTCATATAAAGATACAAAATAAATGATTTAAACGCCATTTTTTTTCATGGTGGGGGGGGGGTCAAACGATTCGGATTTAGGTCATTGGCGCAACAAAATCTTTCCATTCATTTCGCCTCTTCTACGCATTCCAGATAACAAGGGGAAACAAATGAGAAAAAAGCATTTCATCTACGAAGAAGGAGAAGAAGAGAGAGAGAAGATGAGAAAAAGACAGATTAAAATGTCGTGAGAGAAGAAGGGGGAAATCGGAAAGAGAGAAAGAAAGGGAAATAGAAGGTTAAACTGCCTTTTCCCTCGTATATAAAAAAAAAACGCCATTTTTATGAACCTTACTCTCATTGCGGTAAAACGAAATGCGAGAGAAATGTTCAGAAAATGAAATTAATTCCAGTAATAAAAAATGTTGCTTTTTACTCAAAGCAAATAACTGTAAAATACAAAAGACAATTTTGCATGAAAGGAACTCTTAAAAGAATATTAAATATCGAAATAAATTCTGTTGGTACGTTAAGAATGAACAGAGCCTTAAAGATGCGGCTCTTAAAATGATCGAAACCATGGCATAAGATTAATTTGAGTCTGAAAAATAACCTTTTTGTTATTCTTCAAAAAATAAAGTACATTTTATTCAATTATATTTTCACAATTACTTGCAATGACTTGTTGTCACCAATCGGACAGTTGTTCGCTCTCGATTTTTGGATGCAGTCTCGCAAGTTTTGATATGAAAAACATTTTTCCACGAATTCTTGAATTTCGTTTTCGTTATAAAAATATTTTCCCCATTAAAACCTTCAGCAGCGATCGGAATAGATAATAATTGGTTAATGAATTGTCAGGTGAATCAGGTGTGTCTTGTAGAACAGACCAACTTACATCTAATTTTTTTTCTGCTTTCATTCCTGATGTACACGGATTTACGTTTTTATGCAGAAGATCATTTTTTCTATTAACGAGTGCAGAGCGCTTTTCAATCCAACTTTTATAGACGTGTTACAGCGGCTGGACGTGAAAATGTGCATTTTATGTTTCATTGCATATAACTATCTCGCTGCCATAACGTAGCTTTCCTGTACCTTTCCTATAAATGTTTTCATACTAGTGTTATAATCATCCTGACATGGTACCTAGAATTTATTAATTAGTACTAGATTGGCAGTTAGGTCTCGTTCTTTTACTGTTGAAATACATGTAACCGTAAGTTCTATACTAACAATTTCTTCTCTAATATTTTTC